AATATCTTTATTCTGAATAGTGTTTGTCTAATGTGCAAAATTTTCAGCCGAGTTTATTCCATGATATATTCTCTTCTTCCAGAATCTTAAAACATAACAGTAATTGAAAGAAGGTCATGTGACACAATCCTCTCTCTAACTTGAAGCGTAAACCAATCCACCATTACGAAATCTCTTCCTCTTTGCCTCCTTTGAGAAATACATGACTCAATTTTGTTAAGTGCCAATTATAAAGTGTTCAGGAGTACATTATTTGAACCAAGGACAACACCGAGGAACGTTCATCTCATTCACTGCAATAAGCTGCCACTGACGTCTATGATTTTACACACATTTAGTAGAAATTTGCGAAGAAGCGGGTTTTGAAAATTCTGAGTAATCGACAGTGCAAACAGAACTACTACAGGTTATATTTTACCAGATTTAAACTAACTGAGTAAGAGAAATTATATGGAATATATTCCTGGGCAACACCAACAGCAACAACAACAGACAACAATCAGCATAAATGGGAGGAACCTGAAAAAAGCAACCTCGTTTTCCTACCCAGGAAGCATCGTATCAACTGCAGGCCGACGGAACTGACGAGGACATCAAAGCAAGAGTCGGAAAAGCAAGATAAACTTTCATTACTCTCAAGTCTGTGTGGAGGTCAACATCACTCAGCATGGAAATGAAAATAAGACTCGGATATTCAATTTAAATGTGAAGTCAGTGCTACTATACGATTGGTCATAAAGAGCAACTGAAACAAACTACAGACCTTCATCTACAGCTGTTTTCACTCAGTACTATTCAAGATCAGTTGGCCGACCAGAAGAGATCAGCAACAGGGATCTCTGAGGGTGAACCAACCCAGGAGGAACCGATTGTGAAACAAATATGCAGTAATAAATGGAGATGGATTAGCCATACTTTGAGGAAACCATCAAGTGACATCACTAGACTAGCTATTGCTCGAGTGGAACCCGAAAGAGAAGCCGCGAGGTGGTCATCAGTGCAAGGGTGACTTGAAGGAGGTCATGTGAAGAGGAGATGAAAGCATATGAGCAGACTTGGAGCCAGGTAAAAACGTTATCAGAGAACCGAACGCAACGGAGATGTTTGGCTGAAGCCCTATGTTTCTCTAGGAATTCAGGGAAATTATAATAATATTCATGGAGGTTTTCGGCAGCTCAAGTTTGAAGGGAGCCACCGAATATATATAAATATATATATATATATATATATATATATATATATATATATATATATATATATGGTACATTTACAAAGTGATAAATACATTTTTAGTATTCAGAATACCTGGAATCTGGGTGTATTACTCGGGAAAAAAGGTCTGCTTTTTAAACAGTGTCAGCCAGGTGTATGGCGCCTTAATGGCTGCCGCTGAAATCATCATCATTTGAGGTTCTCTACTTAGAATTTAACATGCAGTAAAAGAATCATAATTCAAACATTGCTTTTGTGTTCTGTGAGACAGATGGTTTAAATGAGAAACTTACTGGATGTGTTTTATTCTGAGGATGTGAATACTAGTCACAAGAAGATATTAGTTGAAGTACCACTGAAAACCAAAGAACACTGGACAATCATTTCGTCACAGGAGGAGATTCTTATTCTGCTGTAGACTCATTAGGGTTTGAAGCCAGGCAAGAAGAAAAGAATATTTCACAACCATTAATGGATTGGGAACCAATGATCCGAAAATTGTAACTTCAGTCAGTTTTCGTCTATCGTGTCATTATCATCTAATGTCACCGGAGCGTATCTTCTATGAAGTTCTACTCTATGGACTCCATATTTAATAACCCATGAAATGCATCTCTCTCAGACAAGCAGTCAGTAGATTTGTATTCAGAAGTTAGGCTTGTAGTGATTGGACAGTTGATATTTTGCCATTAGGGATATTCACTCGAAAGACTGTATGTACAACACAGTGAAGAATAAATGTGTACAAATCTTATATTTAGGACTAGGAAATTAAAGAACAAAGAATATGATTCTTTTCGATAACCTGCTCTTCATCAGCTTCTACAGGTATACGCAAGCATGACAATGATGAAAAATAAAATTAGGGTTATCAATAACATTATTGTGGTTTACAGTTAACATCAAATCACTCAGTAATGTGAATAGATTACAGTTCAATAGCGCCTATTATTAGTGTGATTATATGCATGAGCATAACACTACACACTGAGTATCAGACAAATAAGGGAAGATCATAGTGCAGAATTAATAGGCTTCAGAGAGGGCCAGGGCAGTAACAGTGGATACCTAAACCTGTTTCTTTTGCACACATAGCACGGGTTGTTTCCGGCGGTGGATCTCAATAGCGTCTGGTGTTTGGAGTGTTCGGTACCTGGATGCGTTTGTTAATTTATTTGGTACCCGATAGATAGCAATGAAGAAAGTTTATTCAGCGCTGGACCAGGTGGTCTAATATGGAACTGTTGATGGTTTTACTACACTTTTACGTATATAGACTGGTAGATGTTCCCAGGCACTGGAATCAGAGTTTCTAGAGCAACGGTCAAGATAACTTGCGCCACCACAAGCGCAGTTGAATTAGTAGATACAGTTGAACGTGGCTAGTCTAGGTAATTCATCTTTCAATTGAGGAATCACAACCGGTCGCGTAGAAAATATGACTTATAGTTTACCAGCATTAAAAGTTATTTGAATAGATTTTTTTTAACTAGTTAGTAATTATTTCGTCACTTGTTACGTCACCCTTGAAATGCGGTCGTATATAATGTAAAGGCTTCTTGTTTGCAGATAGAGAACAGTGCTTTTCTACTTTATTGGTCATGTGTTTCCTGATGAAATTTTCTGAAGAGCTATTTTCCAATACAGTCCTATAAGAGGTTAATTTCTAGCCCGAATATCTAAGTGGTGGTAAACGTATCTGATTGACTGCAGGCGACACTATGTGAGGCGGGTTCGAATCTCATGGGAGGGTGGGGGTCATGAGCTGTTCCATCTAGGTGACTGCAGATACGCTTGGTTGACCAGTGGTGCAGCCAAGGCTTCCTGTGACCAATTGCCTCCGCCATCTAACATTAACAGTTCAAGGGGCACCATGATGGCGAGCCAACTAATTTGTTGATGGCGACATTACAAACTTGACTGACTGATAGCATTCTGTTGGCATCAAAGAAAGGACTAGACGCACAATTCCACCAGTTACTAATTAGTGTTTTGTGTTGACGTACATACATTAGTTCTACTTACAGATGTTGATGAAATGTCATCTCTGCATACTATTGACTGATTCGATGTTATCTTAAAACAATATTAGCGTTCTATTGGGAGATTTTTCTCTGAATTTTAAGCCTAAATTAATGCAGACTACTAAGTTGGAGATTTATGTGATTCTACTCTGGATGTCTTTAGCTAACTAAGTGTTTTGACAGTTACTCAATGAAATTTGTAATCTAAGATATGTAATGCTGAAATACTTATGTTATGGTTCCACTTTGTTGTTTTACATAAGAAATCGATTGCCAAGGTGACATGTTTGTTGAAGTTTTCAGGCCGGCTTGGAGTAATCTATAATGAGTCATTTTAACCCTGGGGAAAAATTTATTTATTATTATTAATATCATTATTTCTTTTAATTCCTAGAGGAACATAGGGCTTCAGCCAAACGTCTCCATTGCGTTCGGTTCTCTGATAACGTTTTTACCTGGCTCCAAGTTTGCTCACATGCTTTCATCTCCTCTTCACATAACTTCCTCCAAGTCACCCTTGCACTGACGACCACCTCGCGGCTTCCCTTTCGGGTTCCACTCGAGCAATAGCTAGTCTAGTGATGTCACTTGATGGTTTCCTCAAAGTATGGCTAATCCATCTCAATTTATTCCTGCATATTTGCTGCACAATCGGTTCCTGGTTGGTTTGTTTCCAGAGATCCCTCACTATTGCTGATCATTTCTGTCCAGTCATCTGATCTTGAGTAGTAGACAGTTGTTGATGAAGGTCTGTGGTTTGTCTGGAGTGCGCCAAGTCTCTGATCCATATAGTAGTACTGACTTTATATTGCAGCTGAATATCCGGATCTTATTTCCATTTTCATTCTGAGTGTTGTTGATCTCATCCAAACATACTTGAGTGTAGTGAACGCTTGTCTTGCTTTTCCGATTCTGGCTTTGATATCCTCGTCAGTTCCGTCAGCCTGTACTTAAAACGATGCTTCCCAGGTAGGTGGGTAGATAAAGGAGGTTGTTTCTTTCAGGTTCCACCCGCTTATTCTGAATCTTGTCTGCTGTTGTCGCTGTGGCTGTTTCTATTGGCCAGGAATCTTCATCACCTCTGTTTATGTTCACCTGAACCTCTCCTATCTTTGATGCTTCTCCCGCCAACTTGTTACTTTTCATCTGCATGTCTTCCAGTTTGTTGGAATTCATATATATATATATATATATATATATCACAATGGTGAAGTCCAAATCCTCCAAGTTCTTTTTTTGTGTGGGTCCATTTTGTGCCTGTTTCCTCATTGCCCGCAGTCCGTCGCATTATCCCATCCGTTGCAATGAGGAAGATCATTAGAGATAGTAGGCAGATAGCCAGCTTGTCTTACTCGTGTCTTCACATCGAAGGATTCCGTAAGTTTCCCGTTGTGTATTACATGGCATGCAGCATTGTCGTATAACTGTTGGATGAGATGTGTAATTAACGATGGGACCACGTAGTAGCGAAGTGGTTTCCAAATCACCTCTCGATCAACGCTGCGCCGTCGAAGGCCTTTTCAAAGTCGATGAAGTTGAGTGAGGTAGAGAGGTGACTGCCATTCCAAGCTTTGTTGAATGATGATCCGTAGTGTGGCGATTTGATCAATACATGTTTTGTTTCTCCTGAATCCATCTTGTTTTATTCTCTCCAGGTTGATACGGATTACTATTTTGTTATTTTTTATATACTATCCAATTTCTGCACTGTTAAAAACCTGATATTTCTCTTTATTTTCTTCTTTCATTAATGTTTGTGTCCAGTGAATCCTACAACTCGAAATGAACAGCTACAATCACATAATAAACCACAAGATAATAAAGACCAGAGATCTCAACAGAACGGACAATTTAGCACTGTGCCTATGCCTTTAACAACATTAGATGAAAATCAAAGAAATGCCAAAGAATCATTACATTTATGGCTTTCTGAAACACAACTTAACCAACTATTAGAATACAACTTTTTGGATAGTTATCGTGCACAAGCAGGTCAAGGCAAGAGTATAGCTGACTTAACCTGGGACACTAATCATACACAATCTTATCAAAGTTTATGCTTTTGGTCAGATTCAATTTTACCACAACAAACATGTTGTACATTCCAAATGGAATTAGGATTACTACAGAGGACAACAGAAGAATTACATCAGAGTTTATCAAATTATTTGGGTCGATGGCATAAACAACTGTCGTCACTACGGACTGCATTGAGAGGTAATTATGAATTAAATGCAATTTTTTTTGTAACGATTTCGCAGTACTACTATTATAAAATAAAAAGAACAATACTATACGACAGTCTAGTCTAGAAGCAGTTTGTTACATGTTAGGTTTTTTAAAAAATTCCTCTACCTTCCCAATGGATCATAGAGCTTCAAGCTCTGAGCTTAGAAGTTTCGGTAGCAGTGGCGTTTATTCTTATGGGATGGGGTTGCCATTCTCATGCTCAACCTCCCCTCTTTACCAGTCTTATTACTGAATTAGTGAGGTGATGGAGTGCATCAGCCAGTGATTGAACGTCAGATCACATGCGTGGTCGGCGAGCATTCTACCGCTGTGCCACCGACGAGTTTGTAAAAAAGACTTATGAATTCACTAGGAGCACTTAGATACTTTATCTGATTAAAAATGCTCATTAAAATTTTCAAAAGAATGGATACTGAACAAAGAGTACTCTTTTCGATAAATTCATCATCAGGCTGTACAGTTCTATATACATTATAGTGAATGAATGAGTTAGTGTTATGAACAACATTAATGGTGTTTAAATAACATCAAACCAATAATATTGATAGATTACAGCTCAATAGCATCAACCTAAAATAAGCTGAATGTCAGAAGAATTAGGAAAGATAATAGTACAAATTCATGAGTTTCTAGTTTCTAGTGAAGTGCAGGGCAATAGTAAGGGTTAGGCTTGCTTCTTTTGGACACAGAGCGCTGGTTGTTTGAGGCGAATCGCAATAGCCTCTGCTGTTTGAAGCCTGTGGTGCTTCACTGTTTTTGGCAATTTATTTGGCACCCGGTGTAATATAGAGAAGGATTCATCGAAGCTGGCTTTGTGGCCGGTTTGCATCAGATGTTCCAATATCGAATTGTTAATAGTTTTCGCTACACCCTTTCTTAGCCATGCTGGGAGATGTTCTCGAGCACGAAAAATCAAGTTTCTACAGCACGAGCCAATATAACTGGTTCCACAAGCGCAGTTGAATTGATAGATACAATTTGAAGTGGCTAGTCTAGGTACTTCATCTTTCAGTCGAGGAATCACCATAGGTCGTGTAGAGAATAAGACGTGTAGTTCGCCAGTATTAAAAGTTCTTTGAACTAATTTTCCTAATTTCTTCACAATTATCTCACTTGGTATATCGCCTTTGAATTGTAGTCCTATATAAAGAGGCTTCTTCTTTACAGACAGTGAGTAGTCCTTTTCTACTTTCTTTCTTATGTGTTTCTTAGTAAATTTGTCTGGATAGCTATTTTCGATTAAAGTATCATATACAATGCTTAATTCATCTTCAATTACTTCTTATGAGCATATGGCTCTAGCTCTGTGGCTGAGGGTCTGCCTTCACTAAATTTCTTTTGTACTTGATAGGAAGGAAGCTGTGAAAATGTGTGGATAGTGTCCTGTTCAAGTGCTCTTTCTACGCAAATTTCTTTTTATGCTACCATTTGGTTTTCTTGTAAGTAGGACGTCCAGGAAGGCAATTCTGTCTTGGGATTCCTCTTTGCACTTGAATTTCATAGCCGAATGTACTTCATTGAATTCAGTAATTATTATACTCCTATCAGAACCATTATCACAAAGAATAAAGGTATCATCCATATAGATATTTGAGAAATCGTCAGGGTAATCATTCGGATGATGCAGAAATTTTGTGATATATATATATATTTCTGAAGTCAAATAACGTCAACAGATAGTTGCCTAAAGTATGTTTTGAATTTAATTTTCTCAGCCTACTGTAAATCTAGTTGGTAGAGTGAGGCATTCTACAGGAATGTGATAACGTCAGCATCTATCAACCTGTTTGGATAACTTAGTTTACTTTTCAACATCAACTAGAGTGAATAGAATACATTTTTAGAAGTGTTTGGCCATGCTGTCTACTGCTGCACTAAGAGTAGACATGAAGTCACACTGAAGACATATTTCAGTTGACCAAATTTTGGCGAGTGCTACTGATAGGAACTATCAGTAGTATATAAAGAGACGTGTTCATCGGCGTCGGAAACATCAATTAGCAGTGAGTTAGGTTTGATGTCGGAATAAGCAAATGATCACACAGCGTTGCAGAGGAACCTAGACGATGTGAAGAAAACAGAAAAAAAGCACAATAAGAAAGCCAAAATTAACATAACACAGAAGATCTGCGTAAAAAGTGACGATAAGGTGTACATAATTCTGCTATATCAGTTAAAATTTAACTGTTCACCTAATTATTATAATAAAGGTTATATGTAGTTCACAATGAATGAAAAAGACAAAACGATAGTGTTGTTTTTACTGACCTTTCGCTATTTGAAATGCTGCTGCTAATAGCTTTATCAAAGTAGTAATATTGAACCTGAATTTACAAAATCTCAGCTTATATGTAACAACTTAATCATTGTTCCTCAGCATGGGGTCACTTTTGCCTCTTCAAGTTGGCCAATTAGTAAATATAACAAAACCAGGTGAAGATTATTGTTGGATTTGATATGTGTGTAAAATTATGAAAGCAGCATTTGCTCGCATGATGAAATTGCTTATCGTATTCGTGTTGATTTTGTGTTGTAACCAGGTCAAATTCTGTTTTCGTACATCATTCCACTTCAGACAATTTGGATTCCACTTAATCATAGGAAGTGCTTCTAATGATATGAGACGTTCTTTGTGATTTCTGAAGTTTTTCTGGATTATTTCAATATCGTCAAAATCAATTTTGTGGCCTGATTCCACAGTGTAGCGTGTAGACAACCTATGGTTCATGATTTTTCAAACTTTTCTAGTTCAACTGGATATCTCGGTGGTGGAACAGAGGCGGCTCTACGGTGTTCATCTCTTCTGATTTTGATTTCTCGAAATGTTTGTCCAGTATAGATCGCATTGCATTCCAAGCATTTAATTTTATAGACACAGTAAGATAAAGCATCTTTAGGAATTTGGTTTTTTATAAGGAAAAGGTTGTGTTTGTGGTGTGTGTCTGATATTTTGAAAAAAACTCTGGTGTCGATCTTATTGAGCACTCTTCTGATGTCGTCTGATGTCTCTGCTCTGCATGCAACAGCAACTGTTGAGATCCATGTTTTCGGAATACGTCCATAAGACCATACTTGATATCACTGCTGATTCTGTAGATGAAGAAGTCCCTTGGGTAGTTATTTTGCTTGACAATTAAGTCACACGGTTTCATTATCTGTCTTAATGATAGATTCTCAATCTTTCTGTCTCCAGGAGACAAGAGCCTAACTAACAAGCGAGAAGATTTATATGGTGGAATCAAACATATAAGCCAAATATCACTAGTCAATAATACACTACACAACAGAATTTATTCAGAATTTTATGAAGAACCATAGAAAAGTAGTATTAATAATAAGAATAGCGGAAATAGTGAAGAGAATAATATCAAAACTAAGGCGTCTGTTGTACTGCCGTGTGAACAGGGAACATCAGTGGCCTCATATAAGATTCTCAATGAGACAGGAATTAGTCAATGTGGACATTTAAACCAGCCCACTAGCCTATCAAGCAACTAACTCTCTCTCTCAGAGATAAACGTCGTCGTCCCCATGGATCCTATACAATCAGTTAGGAGAAGTGGTAAACCCACCATAGGGCTTCAGCCGCGCGTCTCCATTGCGTTCGGTTCTCTGACAACCTCTTCACCTGGCTCCAAGTCTGACCACATGCTTTCATCTCATCTTCACACGACCTCCTCCATATCTCCCTTGGACGACCAGCTCGTCACTTCTCTTTTGGGTTCCACTCAAATGATAGCCTGTCTAGTGATGTCACTTGATGGTTTGTTTTGTCAGAGTATGGCCAGTCAATCCGCCCCCATTTCTTCTTGCTTATTTGTTTCACAATCAGTTCATGGTTGGTTCGCTCATTGCCAGAGATGCCTGTTATTGATCTTTTCTGGCCATCTGATCTTGAGTATTGAGTGAAGACAACTGTTGATGAAGGTCTGTAGTTTCTTTGACGTGATCTTTATGACACGACAAGTCTCCGATCCGTATAGTTGCACTGACTTTACATTGGAGTTGAAAATCCGGATGTTATTTTTGATGGTGAGGAGTGCTGTTGACCTCCACACAGACTTAAGGGTAATGAAAGCTTGTCTTGCTTTTCCGATTCTGGCTTTGATATCCTCGTCAGTTTCGCCTGCCTGTAGGTGAAACAATACTTCCCAGGTAGGTAAGGGAGGTTGTTTCTTTCAGGTTCCTCCCATTCATGCTGGCTGATTGTTGTCTGTTGGTGTTGCCCAAGAATCTTGATCACCTCTGTTTTATCAATGTTCACTTGAAGTCCTATCTTTGATGCTTCTTCTGACAACTTGTTGCTTTTCACTTGCATATCTTCCAGTTCGTGGGAAATCAGACATATATCACATCAGCGAAGTCCATATCCTCCACGTTTTTTGTTTGAGTCCATTTTATGTCTATTTCCTCATTGCTCGCGTTCTGTCTCATTATCCAATCTACTGCAATCAGGAAGATCATTGGCGATAGTGGACAGCCTTGCCTCACTCCCGTCCGTCCTCACTTCGAAGGCTTCTGTAAGTCTCGCGTTGTGGATTACTTGGCATGCAGCATTATCGTATAACTATTGGATGAGATGTATAATTGTCGATGGGACCACGTAGTAGCGAAGTAGTTTCCAAATCACCTCTCGATCAACGCTGTCGAAGGCCTTTTCAAAGTCGATGAAGTTGAGTGAGGTAGAGAGGTGATTGTCATTCCAAGCTTTGTTGAATGATGATCCGTAGTGTGGCGATTTGATCAATACATGACTTGTTTCTCGTGAATCCAGCTTGTTCGGTCGATGTTTTGCATCCAAGGCTTGTTTGATTTGCTCTAAGATGATGCGGCTTAGTATTTTGCTTGGGATGAACAGGAGCATAATTCCACACCACTTTTTACATTGACTTAAGTCACTGGGAACTAAAATAAATAAAAAAGTAGAATCTTAATTCAAACATTGGTTTTCAGGACTCTATAATGAA